TCTAGGGATACCTCTGTATTTAATTGCACAAAACCCTTCAGTTCTGATATAGTTTGTATTTAATTGTGTTTCGTTTGTTTTCTAACTATGACATTAATGAACTTCTCCGTAACAAAACATTGGTAACTGGCAAGTTTGGTCTTTAATGAAAGTTAATGTTTATATTTTTTTGAAATTAAATATTTTTGTTGTTGTTTCCATGAGTGATGTGTGGAAAGTTTATTGTAAATTAATTATAGGCCCATAATGTATTCTCTTTTTTTGTTGTGTGTGTGTGTATGGCAAAGCTACTAAGGCTATATGTAGCTGCCTACCATACTTTTGAATTTCTGACCAGAGGGAAGGCACCCAGTCAACAGCAGCCTACCACCCACTTTCCACTCCAAGAGATTGAATATCACTAATATAACATACACCTTAATGTGCACGGAGAATATTTAATGGTACTGTTACGTATCTGCTTGTTTGTTCGTTTCCGGTAGAAATTCTTTCCCAGGATCTTCAGCGATACAAGTCCTTTCTTGATTAAACCAGTTTATATATCTCCTCGATACAAAGTTTCAGTACGTTTTTCGTCACTTTAAACTTAACAACTTTTATAATACACGCTATAAATCACAGCGATTTACAATCTCGAAAATTTCGCTCTCAACGAGTGCAAAAGACACAATTTACGGCTCACTAGCTCGAAACTAACAGAAACATAACTTACACGGAATTCAAAGTAACTACTGCTCTCTCTCTTCATTTAAGCCTGCTGGCTTTCCTCTGCCTGGCTTATATACTAACGAACGCACTTTATCTCTTAAACAAACGCTATAATTCACAACGAACGATTCACACACTTTACCTATTACCACGCTTGACTCAATTGTCCGTCTCTATCTCTGTCTGCAATTCAATTGTTGCCGTCACTTCTTGCCGGTCTTATATATTACAAAAGTGTACATCTCGTCTCTTCGTGAATCTTCTAGATACTCATCACGTATTACCAGGGTCACGTGACTTCCGCTGTAGTAGCAGTATGTTCAACAAAAAGAAAATACGAAATTGATGTAAC